AACTAGCAGCATATACCCTAACGTCAGATTGCAAACCAGGCCAATAGTAAGACTGGCGTATTTTCTCTCGAGTTTTATGAATACCTAAGTGACCAGCATACTTTGTGTCATGACAGTATTCTAATGCTTGTTTGCGCTCCGACATTGGAATTACCGCTTGTAATTTTGCAACGTTCAGTTCTAGGTCATTGAAGCGTCTAACTACTATATCCTCTTGGAGCTCTAAACTATCAAACTGACTCCATAATGACCTTATAAAGAATCCCTTACCGGATACCTCATTGTATTGTGGCCTATGACCCTCTGTCAGCCACCGCTTAACAAGTTTAAGGTCCGAGTCATTTGATTGTAGTTTCATTAGAGTCAATTCTTTGCCATTGTCAGGCATCTGACTGGTTACGATTTTGACATGGCTATGTTCCCTCTTAGAACAATCACTGCTCATGTTTGACTGACTGTCTTATGTTAACCGACGTGGTTTGCCTGGAGCACTACCTAATGCGTCAGCATTTCTACGTTGGGTACCTTGAAAAATTAGAGGAACCCTAAAGTAATCGATGTGTAATAAGTTAGCAGACACGTCAATCAAACACTTATTTTTCTTCATAAAGTCTAAACCTAGAATACCATCTACTTGTAGGTCAGTTACAACGGCCTCTGAAGTAAACTTCTCTTTACCAAAATCCATTTTAAAACTACCTTTACCTCGAAGACTTAGATATTTGTCACAGACGGACTTAATCTGTGACCTAGTTTTACTCAGATGTGGCCTACACAAGTCAGGAATTAAATCATACACTCTTGTAGAGACTAAAGTTAGTGTAGATCCAGTATCAACCACAAACTTGACTGGTACATCTTGAATGCTCAACTCAACAAACATTCCTGCATCCTCTGATGCTGAAACAACAACAGCGCCTTTATCATTGTTTGAAGACTTAACTTCAGACTTCAGTGTATTAACCGATCCGTCCGTATATGTTCCGTTGTTATCTGTTCCCCGAGTACTTGGTTTCTGATTATTATTGGGACAATTTCTTGCAAAGTGTCCTATTTCTATACAACTGAAACAGGGACCACACCTTTTTCCTTTACTTTGTGCGCTATTTATATTCCCCCTTGGTTGGAACTTTCTTTCGGACTTTAAATCTTTAATCTCTTTTGTTAAGGACAGTAAATTATTTTCAATCGTCTGCATCCACGTCGTCATTTGTCCCATAGATACAGCCGTATCAGGACTATAAGGTGCTTCGGTCCGTTCGTCTATCGAAGTCTGTCGTAAGTGACTCATATTTTTCATTGTTCTACTCTCAGCCTTGTTGTAAGCTTCAAGCTCAACTGCCAACCGTATAGCACCGTTAAGACCTTTTGGGCGAGACTGTTTAATTCTGAGTCTCATTTCTGGGTCTTCTAACGCATCTATAAATTGTTCTTTGGCGATCGTGTCCCTTAATTCTAACGGGGCAGTCGGGTAGGCCAGACTAGAAAGTTTTCGAACTGACTGACCTAACCCCGGCAACGTCTCGCTTGCTTTTTGTCGACATTCCTTGAATTGAACACGATATAGTTCAGTTTGACTAGATGGAGTAAAGCGTTCTTCCAGTGCATTTACTAGGTCTGAAAATATTTTCTCTTTATCTTTGGTAAATCGCCAAGGACAGCTTGGGCCTGTCCAATCAGTGACACGGCCAAGTACAAACCTTTTTGATGTTCAGACCACATATTGACTAGGGCACACATCTCAAAGTGTGATAAGTAATCCATCCAAGGAGTATTGCCATCATATTTTGATGGTTTGATTTTAACATCGTTTGAACCAGAGCAAACAATATGAGCAGTACTTTGATTTTTTGTTAAATACTGTTTATCTTGCCCCATGGATTTTCTATTACTCATGTGAGGATTTGATATAATATCCTCATCTGGCAAAGGCAGTGTATCTCCCACGGCCAATCCACTATGTGCTGATAGAGACGGCCCTGTCGTCACTACGCCTGAATCATGATCTTTATTTGCAATAACCTGTGTACGTACACCCTGATCTTTAGATGTAGAAGATATAAAGCCAAGTCCATGTTGCATTGTGCTTTCACTAAGAGACTGTATTTATCTACTTATTTCAGCAATCTGATCGTCAATATTTGACATATTTATTACTGTATATTGTAATTCAAATAAAACAATTATAGTGTTATAATATTTTATTAAATAATACACTCGTGTTACAACTCAGCCGTGAACTACAACTATGTCTCACGGTTGAATTACTTTAATCCATTAAATAAATACTGATGTCAACTGACAATAAATTAAATAACGATCAATCAATCAAAAAGTGTTCAACAGACAACTTGAATCCCAACCGCTAGCCACCAAATATGTAACGTAACGTGTAACCAGGCGTTTATATTTCAAACGAACGTTCCAGTAAATACTTGGATTCAAGCTGTCCATAAACAATACGGCAATACTATTAACTATCTATTTTATACACAATGAACTAAAATATGCACACGGGCTCTTTGCCGATATAAAGTAATGACTAACAATTATATATATATATATATACAAATATAATACAATCTTACAGCCTGTCCTCCGGATGGGACGGTCTGCCACTACAAGACAGTGTGGCTGGTACAGTCTGTCAATACCAGACAGTGCTGCTGGTACAGCTGTCCTCCGAGTGGGACAGTCTGTCACTACCAGACATTGCGGGTTATTGCAGTCCGTCCTCCGTATGGGACAGTCTGCTCTGCCAACTTCCTTTGTTAGACCAACTTGTACCCAGTACAAGTTGTCCTCGACAATATCACTTACAGCTATGTAACGTGCCTTACTCTTATACACTGGTCTTCTTAATGAGAATATCGACAGAACCCGAATTGTTTTCCTCACCCGCTTATATACCCCAGGGCGAATACAATAATTACTGGATAGGGGTGTTCTCTAAATGTTCCCGATACCGAACATAAGAATCCCTCTCAAACACCCCCATACCCTTGGACCCAACCACTGACTTTCCCGCCAAACGTCTAAATCGACACAACGCTTCCTTCTGCGTGAAACATGTATTGATACAACAAGGTTCTTCTTGTTTGTAACCATAACGACCAATAAACATTACAGAATTTTCCTTTAAATGAACAAATTTATAACAATTTATCTTATAATTACTATTCTTTTTACAAACGTAGATTATTTTCGCTTGCTTTTTAATGTTTTTAAATTGGCGTTTTATGGGCCGGTAACTCTGAAATAGTACATTTTCTAAAGGAATCTACATGGAATTTTGCTATTTTATGTTTTAGCAGGAAAAAACGTATTGTGACCCTATTTTTTCTTTTAATATTCTGAAAGCATTTTCTAAAAGCTATCTTCTCGTATTTCATTTTACAATTATATCTAAAGTTTATCTTCTATTCACATAATGATGTTTTTCCCTGTATAATCCATACAAAATGTGTCATTTTTCACAACCTGTAACTTGAGTAAAAGCTCGGTGACCTATATTTTGACCTATCTGTAAGGGGCATAACCCCTGTTAACTGTTTTAGAAAAGACAAAATTAGCTTTAAGTCATGAACCAAAGGTCCTAGACCCATTAGGTCCTCTATAATGACATCGTGGATAAATGATCTTGACAAAGGTCACAAGGTCAAAGGTCAAGATCATGTCCCAGATAGCGAATTATGTGTTTTTGACCTTATTTAAAGGATTTAAAGTGTGTTTTAAAGGTTTTTAAAGTTGATCTTGACCTTTGACCTTACAACTTTTTATTCGATATCTCATAAACGATTATACTTACATAAATAGTAAATAGTGAAAAATGTTTAGGTCATTAAGGCGCAACTTTTTTTTACATTTTTACCGAAGAGATTTGACCTATCTGTAAGGGGCATAACCCCTGTTAACTGCTTTAGAAAAGTCAAAATTAGCTTTAACTCATGAACCAAAGGTCCTTGAACCATTAGGTCTTCTATAATGACATCGTGGACCAATGACCTTGACAAAGGTCACAAGGTCAAAGGTCAAGGTCATGTCCCAGGTAGCGAATTACGTGTTTTTAACCTTATATTAAGGATTTTTAGTGTGTTTTCAAGCTTTTAAAGGTTGACCTTGACCTTTGACCTTACAACTTTTTATTGGATATCTCAAAAACAACTATACTTACAGAAATAGTAAATAGTGAAAATTGTTTAGGTGACTAAGGCGCAACTTTTTTACATTTGACCGAAGAGATTTGACATATCCTTAAGGGGCATAACCCTCGTTAACGGTTTCTGAAAAGACAAAATTAGCTTTAACTCTTGAACCAAAGGTCCTAGACCCATTAGGTCTTTCATAATGACATCGGGGACCAATGACCTTGACAAAGGTCATAGAGTCAAAAGTCAAGGTCATGTCCTAAATAGCGAATTTGTTGTTTTTGTCATATTTTAATGGTTTTATGTGTGTTTGAGAGCTTTTCAATGCATTCTAAGCCTAGTAGAACATGTATTTTACATTCCGAAAAGGAAAGACCTTTCAATTGTTCAAGAACAATTGACATTTTAATAATTTCTATTTTTTTTAATAAATGAATCAAGTCGTTTTTGATGTAACACTGCATCAAGTACGTTGTATCTGTATAGAACTTCCTTGTTAACACATAGTGTAAATAGAAACTCTACAGCTTTGAAGCAAAATGTATCATAGTTATATCAATGGGTGAAAGTTCAACTGCATTTTTTTTTAATTTTATAGCTATCTTCAATCAGCATATCATCAGTTTTCCCGCGAGTTTCCGTTAATTCAAGTAGGAAACAGCAGTGTCAACCAAATCCGTACGCAAAAAATCGATGATAAAGATATCGTTATTTTCCATATACGGCGACTCAGTTTCGACGAATTATACTTGATATTGTAGCTTAATATAAATATTACAAAGATCTATTTTACTTCTAGCAAAAGTAAACAAGGAAATGTTAATTTCTGTATAAAAGAGCTCCAGGTTCCTTCCGTAGTATAAGTCAACAAATATTTTATAGACAATTTTGTTATTATTAGTATTCCAATTGCATGGCTGTTAACTACAAAAAGGGCTTGCGAACTTATGAAAATGAAAAGTTTGACAGAAATGAAACTGTCGTTGGGGATGAAGATGATGATCAACAATATTATGAGGAAATTGCTGAGTATGTTGATAATGCGTCGGAAGAAAAAAAGAATCAAAACAAATATACAGGTTGGAATGAACGTGGTAAAAGTAAATCTAGAAATTCACACAACAAGAAAAAGTTTGGGAACAACAGAAATGAAAACACAAAAGACATAGAATTACAACTACCTATTAAACAAAGACTGGAGCGTGTTGGAGTAGTGAACAGAACGTGGAGAACTGCATGTGTAGTATCTGGCTTTGTATGTATTGGTTTAATGTCAGTTATTGGTGTGCTAGTGTGGTTACTACTATCAACGAAGGGTAAGAAAATTATTTTATGCAAAAAAAAGGGAAGGAGGGATATACAGGTCTTGATTAAATGCATCCAAAAACCAAACCATCCCCTTCTATTTACAAATCACCTTAAACTAATCGCATTTTAAACGTGAAGTGGACAAAAACAAAAAACCTAAATAAAACTGCTTTGTATGAATGATACATAGAAAAAAGACAACAGAAATCACCAAAAATACCTGACAGCTCAACAGCCCTCATCAACCACCAACACTCAACTCCGTGGGGCGAGGAAAGGTTAGGGGTAATTATGCGTACTACAAACAATAATGCTGAGCTTAGCTAAGTGTAATTTTTTATGAGAATTGTATTCCAAAAAAATTGTCAATCAATTACTCCAATAAAATCACAAACATACACATGTAAAACCGGTTTACGAAATACGTATCAGCCATTCCTAAAACCACTCTTTTTTCTCTCTTTAGTCTGATCTTATTTCACTTTATTTTGTTATCTTCTTTTAGTATTTTGTTTTTGCTTCTGTAGTATATTTATTCCTACGGTAACCATGTTTCTTGTTTTCAAACTTTTCTGGTTTTTTTTTTAAATGACCTGGTTATATTAAACATAAACCCGACCACTTTTGTTAGTGAGGTTGGTTGATTTAATTGTTGTTTACTTCGCGTCCTTTGAGAAATATTTTATGAATATTTAGGACGAAAAACACAGTCATTAACAATAAATCCAATAGATAGGTTCTCCAAATCAGGTCGTCCGATAAGGGAGACACTTTCGATTACCACTTGAAAATAATTGTATGTATGATATTTGCAAAAACAATTCTTATAATACAAGATTACGTGTACCTATTGACCCCCCCCCCCCGAGAGTTATCACAAGTATTATTCTTCGTGCAGAACGCGGGGCACCTCTTCCATCAAGCGACATCAGATTCTAACGTCCCAATTCTGATTGAGTGTGACTGCATATTTTTACATCCCGCATATCAAAATGAGCACACCAATTCAACATTGGTGTTACTGCAGTATCGAAAAAGACCAGGGCCCGTATGCATAAAACATCTTAACTTAAGTGTTCCTTAAACTTAGATTTCACAAAGAATTCCCTTAGTTAAGTAAAATTCTTAAGTGGTATGCATAAAATTACTTAAGTCATCACTTAACTTAGGAATACTTAAATCGGAACCTTTCTCTAATTACCGTATGATATATGTTAGCTCATCGCATGTACTCATCCGTGCAAATGTTTGTTTTGATTATTTACATTGATTGAACAATACATACTTTTATTAACTTGGTTTAAATGGTTGTTGGTGTGTAAAACAATTAAAAAATACGTAACCACTTGAAACGTCCAAACAAATAAAAAATTGACGCATAAGAAAAAAAAATATTTGTAATGCAAAACTTCCCCCTACTGCATGTTACTCAAGGAGAAATGAAACGGGCTTGACAGGAAATTGATTGATGTATTGATGCTTGCCTAAAGTCCAATGGCAAATATGTCATGCATCATCAGAACGAGAACAAATAACCAATACCAATCTCTCTCTACACGATCCCAATTCTGATCGTACGTGGTTGCATTCTTATACACCCTGGAAAACGGACGCCCCACTTTGACAAGGGTTTTACTGCCGGTCGGAAATAGACCAAAGTGACCGTGAGTGCATTTCTTTCTAACCTAAATTTTGTAAACTTTGTGTGGCGTTTGTTATCGTTTGCTAAACGCTACAAAAGTAGAAACAAATACATCGTTTAATCAGTATTTACTGACCCTGTTTGAACTTTCAATAATGCATGCACATGTTGTCGGTAAACAGACTTATTACGCGGTTATAATTAAATGCGGTTCCTTCAACCAACATAGTTATAAATCTCAAGACTTTAGACCGTTTTTTTTCTATTTCATATGTATGAAAGTGTATTGCCTATAATTAAGATTATTACTAACAATGTTTAGGGATTTTTGCTTATTCTGTTAAAGTATGGGTCCCTTTTCAAAAGTCTCCCAACTATTGCCTTGATTTAGCAAGTTATTCTTTTATATTTTTATTACGTTTATACGATATGATAGGCACTAGGGCGAAGATTTCTTTGCATTGTTTGTCTTTCTGCAGATTGTTCCAATGTTTTCTTATAATTTTACTAAAATTCAAGGTTGAAGTAGAAACAAATGTAGCGTTTGTACTAACAAACGATGAACGACAAACTGTAGACGCATTCTAAGCGAGTGCATAGTTTGTCAAAGTTTATGTAAACTTTGCGAACGTATATTAGAAACAAATGATCAACATGTGCACGCTTAGCCGTTTGCATCGTTTGTGTTAGAAAGAAATGCACTCCGTATTTCTATTTGCCAGTCACTCTTAGGGATAGAAGAAAATAAGAAATATAAAGCAATTTAGGGTGCATTTCTTTCTAACCAAAATTTTGTAAACGTTGTGTGCCGTTTGTTATCGTTTGCTAAACGCTACAAAAGTAGAAACAAATACAGCGTTTAATCAGTGTTTACTGACCCTGTTTGAACTTTCAATAATGCATGCAAATGTTGTTGGTAAACAGACTTATTACAAAAGTTGAAACAAACACATCGTTTAATCAGGCCGAAGTTAGAAACACATGTAGCGTTTGTACTAACAAACGATGAACGACAAACTGTAGACGCAGTTTTAGCGAGTGCATAGTTTGTCAAAGTTTAGGTAAACTTTGCAAACGTATGTTAGAAACAAATGATCAAAACATGTGCGCGCTTAGCCGTTTGTATCGTTTGTGTTAGAAAGAAATGCACTCTTAATAAGTAGAGAACATTAAATGAGGAGAGATTTTTAAGAGATCCAAAAGAAGTGGGACAACTTATGCATGGCGTGATAAATGTAAAATATCAAAAAAAAAATCGAATTATCCACTAGCAATTTTTTTTTTTATTGCAAACAAAACTTAAATTACACGAGGAGTCTCTAAATGGATACTCAACATTATCTTGTAGCAAATCATCCATCTAATAATGATATATGATAGTAAAATCTTCATTTAAAAAAGGTTCCAATTTGTCGTATTTATTAAACAGATTTGTTCCATCTCTAAGGCACCGACCATTCATCTTTCATGGGTGTTGCTGGATGGAAGGCATGTTTATTTTCTAGAGACAAAAATATATTTTTTAATTCTAAAATAGATTGATAAGATGTTTTGAAATCTATTTCGATTTGAAACATTTTTTTCACTTCCTTTTTATAACAATAAAAAAAGAGGGTAGGGTCAATTTTCCACGAAATCATAGCAAATCAGGGGCCTTTTTCAAAAGCCCTTCGATTTTTTACTAAAACACAAATTATTAGATTCATATGTTTACTGTAAGGTATTATCAACATCTTTGTGTATTTCTGAATATTTCACTTGAAAGTTGTCAACGCGTAAAGATAACTCAAAACTGCATGCATTCTGGCCAGATTTTAGAAAATTTTAGCAATTATCTAAAACTGCCGAGAAGGATTTTCTTAACCAAAACCAAAATTTATTGGAATTTATAACATACATTTCTTTCAGATACACCATAATTTATTAAAAGTTAAAGTCTTCCTTCTATGCAAAATTTGCAGAATATAGAAGGAAATATAAAAAAATATTGAATACGGATTAAGTATCTTGAATACATCATATATATAAACTTCGAATTCCACTGAGTAGGTCTTAAAACGTTTTGATTTTGTCCCAGTTAGTGAAGCAAATTTAGGGGAAATTTGCCCAATATATGTAGAAAAAAACAATATAATTGAAAATTAAACCGATGTCCCCCCAAAAAAACAGGATTTTGCATGCCTAAAGATCTTCTTACAGTTTTGTACTAAAAGTTACAATCGATACCAGGCGATGTATTTTATCAATCTAACATTTAATGTTATTTGTGTAAGCAGGCACGAACAAATCAAAAGGAAAATAAATGCATGAATTCCATGCGTGTAAAAACTGTGAGCACTTTTTGGAATACACACCAACGAGATTGATAAATAAGGGTAGAATGAAATTATAAAACTACCCTCTGTTATCTCTTGGTTTTGTTGATTATAGGTGATCTTTCGAAAATTACAATGATCGTTAATATTTAGCAATAAACAAACGAAATATTACTGAATATATTTATTATTCAATTAAATGGGAGCTAATATATCCATGTTCTGCATTCATACATTCGACTGATTTTATATATTTTAGAAAAGTTAAGGTAGCTCTATAGGTACCTTATACTTAAGTATAATCTTAGGCGTTTTCTTAGTATAAGGGGTTTTATGCATACCACTTAAGTTGTGTGGGCGTGACTTAAACCAACAAAGAATTTACTAAGGAAATACTTAGTTTAAGATTTTGTATGCATACCACTTAGGTAAAAAGGGCGGAGTTTCCTTAACTTAAGTGTTTACTAAGGAAAATCTTAACTTAAGTATCTTTATGCATACGGGCCCAGGCGTGACAACATTTAATATTAAGAGGAATTGGAATGCTGTCATAATTTATATATAATTAGGTCTTTCCACTTTTCTGTGGAAAGACCTATTGGTTTTCTATTGGTTTTCTTCTGATTATTATTATTATTTTTTTCTTCTTCCGCCACTTTTTTCTGACGGTGCTTTTTTGTTTCACAAGATGTCGCTTAGATTTTTTGCATATGATATCGAACAGTTATTACGATTTTGAAACTGACCCTGTTAAGCCGAACACTTTTTATTGTAAGAGTTATCTCCCCAAACACGGTTTTTCTTGTGTACAAATCTCCTTCACAACAGTTAAAGATTACGACAAAATTGTTTCACCAATTTGCTTGTTATATCTTCAGGATCTTAAAAAAAATTTTGACCGAAGCGGTCCGGAGACTACATATGGGAGTTATTTCCCCTTTTGTATTTTTGATTTATTTTTTATAAGAAAAATGTAGTTGTAGCTTGTAAACCATAAGTGATAAAGACATAGCGACTTTTGATTTGAGATCCTTGGTCCAAAGAAAAGAAAATAGGGTCAAGGTCAAAGGTCAAGGTCATTTCTAAATTTGGATTTTGGCTTATTTTCACCACTTTTCAAACACGATATTAGATATCGACAACATATTTTTACTTAATTGCAAGTTGCGGCATGTCGTAACACATACATATTGGTTTAAAGGGTGCGCTTACATCAAATGAGGGTTTTCTCCCCTCTTTGTTTAAAAATATGCATATGGTGATATAACTCATGAACCAAATATAATAAGATCTAGGGTCTTTTGATTTGAGGTCCTTGGTTGATGACCTTGAAATTGAGCCCAAGGTCATAGATTAAATTGACGTTCTAGATTTTGACCTTTGCTTTTACCTCATTTGTATACATGATAAAGCCATTGGACTTTTTACATTTAGTTGCAAGCCATATGACCTTGAAAAAGGAACCGGAAGTGACCTGTGTAAACCGGAAGTAGCTATTTTTTTGTACTTTTTGAATGTAAAAGTATATAGAACCATATATTTTTGGAATCAGTGTCAATTAAACAGCTAAATAATACCGGAAGTAACCTTTTTCAAACCGGAAGTAACAAATTATTTCCCTTATTTAAAAAATATTGTATAGAAACCATATATTTTTGGAATCAGCGTACTATAAGCTATCATTTGACGCTATTAATGACATTTCAAACCGAATTTTTACTATTTTCATATCAAAATACTTGTTTTGTTGTGGAAAGACCTTCAATTGTTCACTGAACAATTGGTCTTTAATCTCTTATTTTGTTCTTTCACAATAATATATGTTTAAACTGTAACTCAAAAAGAATAGATCACATGTTTTGTGTTTATTAAAAGTTGTGGGAATATTTTTTTTTGTATTTAGTGTCCAAGCCAATGAAAAACCACTGATTCATTAATTAATGTGACTCTTTCTAATATGTGAGAACAATTTGTGCATGTTGTACTTTTAATATAATATGTAACTGTATTTGACAGTGTCTCAATGTGATCATGAACTCGAACGAAGTCTTCCTAATGGAAATCACTCCGTTTCCACAGACAAACCAATCAGCAACTGCCATACTGGTTTTTATGGAGAAAGATGTGAAGGTATATTCATTTCTTATTTGTATGCCTGTTAGTTTTTGGATGTTAAATAATAGAAACCCATATATAGGACTTTTAATAAATTCATTTTTTTCCAAATCCAACAAAGGCCTGACAAAAAGATGTTTTCAATTCTCTTTTTTATTATCAGTATTTATCATAACAATAATTTTTATTTTATGATAACAGATTTTATTTGTGGACATAAGGGAGATTAAAAGTGTTGTAAAAAAAGGCGTCGTATTATGCTCTCAAGTGCCTATTTCATTGCGGTATTTTAGAAACATAAAATCTAGACTTTCGGAAGTAACAGATCATTCATTTTGATGACGTTTTTTCTGCTAATACATTGTACATGAAAAGGGCAAAATATTTGCCGGTACATCATGCTGTATGCCTTCATATTTCCTTGCTTGTCCGTACATGTACAATTGAATTATTGCATTTGATGTGCCTTGTTCGGAATTAATCCTTTTGAATTAAACTATCAATATGACCTCGAATTGCAGTTGGTAATAAACAACCTACCATCATTTTGCATATGTCTTCGTCGCCTGTTCAATGTCGGTCGAATTGTTTTTCAGAACGTTCACATTAAACAAAATAAAACATTCGTCATTTTATTCTTTTTGGATGAAAAACATGCCTGCAACAGGCTAAGATAGAACAAAGGAAGAAATCTGCAGCCTTTGCTTGCCTTTAAATTATAATCTTAATCAATTAAAACCAGTCAGAGTAAAAATTATCAGCACGATCCAGTTACCTTGGAATTTTCAGAGAAATTGAATATCCCGACTTAGAGTAATTGTTTATGAAATGTACAATTTAAACAAACAAATTTTATTTTTTTGCTATTGTGTATAGGTGATAGTGAGAAACTTAAATTGCAAATATGACAGAAATCATCAATTGACTCTTTATATAAGTTATTGCCCTCAAGTCAGATATCCGTCGGCTCAATATATGAGTTATTACACTTACATGGCGATTCTTTTTAGGGAACTTTTTCAAAACAAAAAATGACACAGAAACAAAAAAGGCAATTAGGGATCAACATATGGTCTTAAAAAGTGTCGAGAAATAACCAAAGAATGACTATGTGCCGGAGTAAAAGCAACGGCGAGGAGGTTCGGAGTCAGAACAATGTGTCCGGGTAAGGTGACATGTCTTCTTGTGAAATGTCACCTTGTCAATTGGCACTTTAACAATCAGGGTTAGCGTGTCGATCTTACACACAGCAGGGTTCATATTCATATCTTATTGACATTCGAGTCCAGATATGGATGTAATATTTGCCACTAGACGTTTAAAACCACTCCATATTTGCATACGTATCATGTGTTTTTAGAAAAATTGGGAAAATTGAATTATTTTGTCCCATTTCCTTTTAAAACAACATGCAATTCAGATTATCTCTCGTTTATCAATATTTTCATTACAGCTACAAATTTGATATATTATTTTTATCTGCTGACGTTTTTTATCTTCAAATATACTGACCGACTTTAGAAACGCAACACTAGATTATTCTTTTTAAATTTTTTCATGAAGGTGGCACCGTCAAAAGCAATGACTCCCTGTATCAAACGCCAAAATGATTGTCAGAAAGATCAATCAATTCTGTTCTACATGTTTTGGGTTCTGTTTTACACCTTCTGAATACGCGTTTGTTTCACCCATTACAATAGGTTTTGGCAATTATGCGGTGGAAACTTCAGGGCTTTAAATGTTTTTCTTCAGTCGATTCTTTGGCAGTTTAGTTTATGGGAAACGTTTATGGCATGAATCTGTGCGCAATGGCATTCGGCAATTTGATAAGCAGTTGACGTTGCGGTCGTAAACATGTCTTGCAAATGACGTTGCGTAATCAAATTCTATTGACGTTGCATTGTCAATACATGTTGATCTGTAGCCCTTTTCACAAAAAATCTTAAGTGTAAAATTAATCTTACGATAAAAATATTCAGTTGAATTGTTAAGGAATATTTTAGACTTACGATAAATTTTACACTTAAGATTTTTTGTGAAAAGGGCTACAGGTCATTGATGGTCAGTAACAAATCCCGTCTACCTGTATCGTTGTCAGAAGGACAGCAAGACGAGTTTCTGAAGTCAAACTGTATGGTTGCAGCACGTTCACGTTTTCCTGTTTGCAGTATTCTTATGGGCTGATTCAGTTTTTTATTCCTCAGTCTTTGCAATATGGAGATGCAACATTTTTTAACTGATTTAAGTGTGGCAAAGGGTTAAAAGAACTGTTTCACGAAGCAAAACAAACTGAAAAAAATCTTTTATGGGTTCCAAATTTTGCTTTAAGAAATTCGTGCGACTTCAAAAATCCGGTATGTTCAATAACCACAGGTAAGTCAGATGTTGATTTTTTCTTAAGAGAAAGAAGTATGGTAAGCATTAATAGTAGTTGTATGAGAATCAAACATAATGTGGAAAAAAAAATCAACAAAATTAGTGTTGCGTTTTTAAAGTCAGTCAGTATAGTTGTGTGTCTTCCCATATAATATAAAAATAAGAAGATGTGGTATAATTGCCAGTGACACAACTCTCCATCAGAGACCAAATGACACAGAATTAAAGGTAACAACTTTAGGTAACCGAACGGCCTTCAACAATGAGCAAAACCTATACCGCATAGTCAGCTATAAAAGGCCCCGAAATGACAAATGTAAAACAATTCAAACGAGAAAACTAACGGCCTGATTTATTTCAAATACAATATACGAAATAAAGATATGATATACAACAGCAAACGACAACTAATGAATTACAGGCTTCTGACTTGGGACAGGCACATACAGAATATGGCGGGTTTAATCATTTTAGCGCCCCCTCCCCCCAGCCCAGGCCAGGCCAGCCCAGCCCAACCCAACCCAACCCACCTATTCCTTGGACAGTGATGCAACAGAACAACGCAAAACAATAAACTAGCAAAAAACATATTCAACAGCAACAAACAACAACTACTCAATTACTCAAAAGTATATATAAAATAGGAAAATTATGTTGACTCGTACATGTAGCTGAAATATATACTGTTTATCATATGTTTTGGAGGTTTGATCGTTATAGTTACATTTCTGAATTGGGTGCAAAATATATCTGGGATAGTTTCAGTTATGATCTACCATAATAATAATCTTCTCTTAATGTGCAAAAATCTTGTCAACACTGATGTTGTCAGTTCGAACCCCACTTCGTCAATGTGCGATTGACTCCGATCTTAATTTACTATAGCTAGAATGCCAAATTTCCTGCCGAAATTCGGTGTTTTATTTTTTTTGGAGAACTCTGGCTTCCTCCACCATCATGAACTGGCCATGGCAGCCATAAAAAAAACAAGTCTGCTGAAGTGGCATAAAACTCCACCAATTAATCAAAACGGTTTCATTGGCAGACTGTTAATCTGGACTAACTTGCCCAAAGTTTATGTTTCCTTTTTTATTATAGCTGAAGAAACTACAAAACTCCTATATACAATCCAGACCAGCATACGGCTACTTGATGAAAATAGTAGTATTAAGATAGAAATAGCTAACACTTCAAATGCACTGGATATTGATTATCACGAAACAAAAGGCTTTGTGTACTGGACGGAATTGGAATCAGCAAAAATTTCAAGGTAAGTATTCAAGAGCAATTAACAAAAAAAACCAAATGAATCACTTTTGCCATGACTTTGCGTTCGTCCTTCTTCAACTTTTTCATAGATCATCTCCTCTGAAACTGCTGAACCAATTTCAACCGAACTTTAAGTGACTAATTCTAAGGGTACTTATTTTAACGTTTGTGTTTTTGTTTGAAGTCATGTTGTTCAATAGACATGTCCTTCATGGCTACAAAAGCAAAATTAAGGTAAAATGCATTAGGTGTTTAATGGAGTTATTGCCATCAAAGGCGACTTTCAGGTCATTTTCAAATTTTTGCTCCAAAAACAATTATAATAGAAAATTAAGTAGAAACTTAAATTGACAAAAAATATCAGCTATACAAGATCTACAAAATGCTATAAGATCGAAACCATTGGATGACTCAGTAAGGTATTATTTCCCGTGAATTAAGGAATTTTGTGGGTCTTGTTTTTAAATTTTTGTGAATTTTTTATTACATGTCTTCTTGCAAAAATTTTAATATCTACAGAAAGTTTACTAAAAGTGTTTATGACGAATGAAATAAAAGTAGTCAAGCATAAACCTTGATAAAACTAAATATAAGAGTTTGCTTGTGACAGTTTGCACATAAGCTTTAAATGTTTTTCCGTTATTCTTTTGAGTGGAACAACATCAGTCTTCATATGATAGCGCAATTTATTGATTGGTATTCATAATAAATATTCTTGTAACAAAATTATTTCATATACATTTTCAGAACTCGTTATCCGCCAACCAGCAGTGAAAGGATTGTAGAAGTTATTGTTTCAGACAGTAAAGGCATTCCTGATAGTATTGCAGTTGATTCTGATAATGATCACATCTATTGGACAGACAGAGGACTTGACAGAATAATGAGATCAAATTTAGATGGTTCAAATAAAATTCTAATTTTAGATACTGGTCTCAAAATGCCCAGAGCAATAGAACTAGATACAACCGATCGGTAAGTTCCTGACTGTAATGACTGTAAAAAAGGCTATAAGAAATTTAAAGGGACACTAGCTACGAGATATAAATTTAAAATAAGATTTTTTATTTTTAATCTTGAATGAAAGTGAAATAATGAAATAATAATTCGCTTTTAGTAGGCAGAATGGTTCAATTTTGTCAAAATAAGCTAAGAAACATCGATGATGAATTATTCATTTGCAAGTGAATAATTCAACCTCATTGAATCCGTATTCATGTGACCTTTAATTTAACCCCTTAGCTAGAGATGGAGCACGCATGAATCAACATTGAAAGTGAGACAAAAGTAAATCATTGATTGATCGATTCGATCTACAAAATCTCATTCTTATACAGGTAAAATAGATGATTACCATATATTTTAACCTATAATATGAAATTAAACAGACCTAAAAAAAAAATCCAATTGCACGAGTTCGCTATCTATTCATATCTATATTTATGTTTATATCGCTTATATGGCCGTCGGCAGTCTTCGGATGTCAACTCGATATTTAATTAAATGGCGTCTAGACTAAAATACACTCGAAACGATGACATATATTATCGAGCCCGTGCCTTGTGTATTGTTTATTTAATACTTTTTATAATTTGGATATACATTTTAGTATGTTGATAATCAAAAATTAGAATTTGAGTCAAATTGGTGATCATGAATTTGACAGCTAATGCCCCTTTAACGGAGAATATCCAATTAACATCGGTTAGATTCACTTAATAAAGCACATGTCAAATAAACACACATTTATAAAAACAAATTATGTTTCTTTAAAGCAAAAAAAAAATGGACATGCTCACTTTTTAAAATAAGAAAATATGGTATGAAACAAAGTGCAATGAAGAAACTATAGCTATAGACCAAAGCACAAAAATGTGAACAATTACACGTCACCATAAGTATGGCCTTCAACAATTGTCTGTAGCTAACTGTATAGAAAGCTATAAAGGCCCCAGCACGACAAAATTTATAACATTACAAACACTTGGTCCCCATGTTCTCATGGAAGTGTATTCGTCTTGATCGCAGGTGGTCATTGGTTAAATCATCTACTGGGTAAAACCAGACTTTTGTTATTCTTCGCAAAAGGACATAGGATTAAGAGACTAATCGGCTGGTAGTAAGAATAGTGTATACGGGTAGAGTGGCATGTCTTCCAATTTTGCGACTTGTTTCTTTTTGAACTAGGAAGTTATAATATTCGACTCAGCATTTCGGTCTAGTACAAAACAAGGTTCAAATCATCTCGCATCAACATGTTGTCGTCCTGATATTCATGTGATATTTGGCCCTGGAGGTAAAATATAAATACAGAAATTCTAACGTAGTGAACTGTCATATTTATTCAAACTTAGAAGTATATAATAGTTTAATCAAAGGCAAAACTGCTTATATGAATATCATAGAGATGTACAACTTTTTCAAAAATTTCATGACATTTAAATTTAAAAGAAATACTAAGTCATTACTATTTCATTGGTAAAGTAATTTGAGACTGTGTTTAAGAATGCATTAACTTGCCTGTTCATTCGAAACATTTGCGCACTAGACACCATCCGTAAACTGTTTTAAAAATCACTCAAAACAACATGTGTTCTGTACAAAAATGTACCACAGGGAAAAGAAACCAACCTAAGCTAAATTTGAAAAAAAACTTTTAGAACTTTTGGTTGTCAATACTCCTACTAATTCGTCATTGATTTAGGCTGATAACTTCCAAATTTTTATCTGCGCTTAAATTATTTACACGAACAGCTCTATATTTTTACAGATGGATATATTTTAGTGACTGGGGCTCTACACCGAAAATTGAAAAGTGTATGTTTGATGGAAGTAGTAGGCAGACAATCATCACGACTGATGTTAAATGGCCGAATGGCATTGCATTAGGTAAGCATTTAAAGTAAAATTATCCATTAATATTTTACCGCAAAAAGTCAAAGATTCTATGCCCATTTAAATATGTATAACGACATACGCTGATGGAGACTAAGAATGTATACATGACACATATACAAGATTCAGAAAGAAAGGTCGTGAGGTGAATTTGAAGTGGTCTCATATGTAAAGTTCACACTTGCAAAAACTCTTGGTGGGGTTAGTAGATGAACCTTTGCAATGCAACCTTTCTTTTCCTTTTTTTTTCAAATGGAAGTTCAAATTTCTCATCTTTCAATTCTCTCAATTCTACCTTTCTTTAAACCTCGTAATCCCATTCATATGTATAGCGCATGAATATATCACAGTGAAATTGACAAAGTGTTTACATAAGTCACGAAAGTAGTTTCAGCAACATGATCAGTCGAAGTGTATACCAAAGGTTCTAACGGTCCAATCGCATTCAAGTTTTTGTAGATATGCAAGTCATATAAAAATTAACATTTTAACGATATTTTATTTAACATGAATGTGGTTACTGCAGTTGGCATGATATTTGTCTGTTTCCTTCTTTTTAAGATTTCTTTCAAAAACGGCTATACTGGTGTGACGCAGGACTGAACCAGATCAAATCTGCCAAATTCGATGGTTCTGATGTACAAGTCATATTAAAAAGTTCTCTTTTAGTGCCAAAACCCTTTAATATTGACATTGATGACGATAACATATACTTTACAGACTTCGATAATCAAGCAATTTTTAAATTGTCAAAATCATCATTAACACTAGAAACCGTACAAAAAGGAAATGGCCATCCATTGGGTTTGAAAGTTTATAGAGTAAGTCTTGGTAAGGTAAGGTTTTATATTCCATGGAATAGACACAAAATCAAATTGAAAGGTGTATATCATTAATTAAAAAAAAATGATGTGTAATGGAAATTCCGCTTTTATATATTTTGGTTTTAGATTGTAAGCAAAAAATCTATTTTCAATCTGGAGAAGGCGTTCCCTAAAAAAGCGAATATTCCCGAAATAATATGAATGTGAAATAATCGAAATGTTTGATAGATACAACGATATGTCTTATCAGAACTCAATGTATAGCAACAAAAGTAACAAAATAAAAAGAATAAAAACTCTTTATAACACTTTACGATCATGTTCAAATCAAAATCGTTTTAGATAAATATCATTTGAAAGTTGATGGGAACTTTTACTGCTTATTAATTTATACAGTGATAATCATTTTTACGGGATAACAATAATCGCATTCATGGATTAATTGCCAGTGCTCTGGATGTGGCATGACTTCTGTGACATTTTGTAATTGTAAATTATTCAAATGTTCTTAAAAGGTTACAATAACCCTAAGTAAAGTTGACTGAGATGAAATAGAAAGCAAAAAAATATTTTATGCACTTGTCCAAAATGTGTAATCTGGGACGTATCTGATGTATATTGTTTCAGAACCATGTGTCGCACACTAAATTTGATATCGAAACTATCTACTGCTACTACTGAATCGGCACTGCTACTGGTGGGCTGTCTGTCTCCTAGAGTATCAGTGATTTACAACAGGCATAACTGTACATTTTGTAGTGTACATTTTTTAGTATATAAATTTTGCATTTGTACTTAAAAGAGAGGCGAAAGATACCAAAGGACATTCAAACTGATATGTCGAAAATAAACTGACAACGCCATGGCTAAAAAAGGAAAATGACAAACAGACAAACAACGGTATGCAAAACATAACATAGAAAACTAAAGACTAAGAAACACGAACCACAGCAAAAATTGCTCCGAAAGGGTAAGCAGATCCTGTTTCACATGTCGCACCCGGGGATTGCGCATGTGAGTAAAAAACCGATGGTAAGTCTAATTGGATACGTCACATTCGGGGAAAAGGGGACGGGACATAAGTTAAGACAATCAAAACATATCCGTCGCATCTGTGAAACATATATTCTATAACGGTCAACCAACTCGTGATGGCGTGCGTAAAATTTACGAAGGGATGATTTCAACTTCGCCACTTTGAACTCTTGGTTTAATAGCTTCCTTGTGAGCAGTAACCCTGTATCAAGGAAATCATGATAGGAAATGCAAGCCCTGCAATATCGTATCAGCTGGGAGATATATACTCCGTATGCAGGCGCTGCTGGAATGTTGCTTCATAGAAAGTGATAGTTCACAATTGGGAAGCTGAAATAATCTCAATGAGGTTTTCAAGCGACCCTAATCGTCACTTTCTAGATATAAATCAAGATATGAGGCAGAATCATATGTATCTATTGTATCCTTTATCTCAAGTTCGATGGGATAGATGTGTTCAATATAGTCACCAAATTTATATAGCGGAAAGTGAAGTTAAAGGATACTGCTTACTTCTTTTCTTTCTTCCTAAGAAGTTCGTGTATGAAGTCAGCCTCATATGAATAAAGAAACAAGTCGGCAAGAAGTGGAACACAGTTGGTTCACATGGAAATGCCGAGTGTTTGCTGAAAAACACGTCCTCCCCTCCAAACGTAACAAATATGTTGTCAATCAAGAAATCAAACATCTAGATAATTTCAGTTTCAGAGAATTTTTTATTTGAATCAGAGTGATTTTTACAAAGTACGATTTATTCCTCCATATATATATTATTGACTTGCCAGTTAATAATCCAACCTCATGTGACCTTTAATTTAACTCCTTGGCTGGAAATGGGCTACGCTTGTACTAGGCGTGTTTAGCTATGAAAAGGAAACGAATGTCAACATTGAAAGTGAAACAATGGGTGAACCATTTCGTTGACTGATTCGATTCACACATAATAATTCTTATACAGGTAAAAACGATGATCAACATATCTTTTAAATTTTTTTATGAAATCCAATTGCACGAGCTCGCTATCTACATTGTATTTATATTTATATTCATTCTTATGTTTATATCGGATTATATGACCGTCGGCAGTCTTCGGATATCATCGCGATGGTTAATTAGTTAACGTCTAGACTAACATACACACGAAATGCTGCAATCTAACTTTGAGTTCATGCATTGTTAATTTTTATTTTATACTTTTTGTTATTTGGATATACGTTTTAGTATGTTATAAATCAAATATGAGAGTTTGTGTCAAATCGGTCAACATAAATTTGACAACTAATGCCCCTTAAAAGTATGTTTACATTTCTCTCAGACAAAGCTGACCTTATCAATTGTTGGCATTTCTTTTTAGTTCTTTTGGTTAAGATACTCCCAAGTATTTTATATATTTAACATCCAATTGATGTGATTTCGTGTCTTAATTCTATGTTACAGGATAAGATACATCAACATCAACTGCAGAACAAGAAACAACATTAGGAACTACCTCAAAAGATTCAATAACGATAAAAACAGAACTTCAAACAACAGCAGTAACTAGCGAGCAAGAAACAACATGAATTTTTTATACATGAGGGAATGTATCCACCTTAGTTTGCATTTCCTCATAAAGCTAACTTGGTTTACATTCCTAGATAAATTCATCTTAGTTTACATTTCTGCATAAATCTACCTTAGTTTATCTTTCTACATAAATCGACCTCAGTTTACATTTCTACATAAATCTACCTTAGTTTACATTTCTGCATAAATCTACCTTATAGTTGACATTTCTGCTTTTAATCAGTTTCTGCATAAATTTACTTTAGTTTATGTACTGCATAAATCTACCTCAGTTTACATTTCTGCATAAATCTTCCTTAGTTTACATTTGTACATAAATCTACCTTAAGTTAGTTTACATTTGTACATAAATCTACCTTAGTTTACATTTGTACATAAATCTACCTTAGTTTACATTTGTACATAAACCTTCCTTAGTTTACATTTGTACATAAATCTACCTTAGTTTACATTTGTACATAAATCTACCTTAGTTTACATTTGTACATAAATCTATCTTAGTTTACATTTGTACATAAATCTTCCTTGGTTTACATTTGTACATAAATCTACCTTAGTTTACATTTGTACATAAATCTTCCTTAGTTTACATTTGTACATAAATCTACCTTAGTTTACATTTGTACATAAATCTACCTTAGTTAACATTTCTACATAAATCTACCTTAGTTTACATTTCTGCATAAATCTACCTTAAAGTTGACATTTCTGCTTTTAATCAGTTTCTGCATAAATTTACTTTAGTTTATGTACTGCATAAATCTACCTCAGTTTACATATCTGCATAAATCTTCCTTAGTTTACATTTGTACATAAAACTACCTTAGTTTACATTTGTACATAAATCTTCCTTAGTTTACATTTGTACATAAATCTACCTTAGTTTACATTTGTACATAAATCTTCCTTAGTTTACATTTGTACATAAATCTACCTTAGTTTACATTTGTACATAAATCTACCTTAGTTTACATTTGTACATAAATCTACCTTAGTTTACATCTCTACATAAATCACCTTAGTTTACATTTGTACATAAATCTACCTTAGTTTACATTTGTACATAAATCACCTTAGTTTACATTTCTACATTTGAATAAACGTATAATAACAATACGTGCTGCTTTTTATTTTAAAAGTATCTGATAGTTTGTCTGTTCTTTTTTATTTAAACGGTGGAAACGATGGCAATACCATTATATATAAACGTTTAACAAAATTCAACATGTCTGTTGTATTTTAAACTGTAAAATCAATTTCCCTATGATTCCCAGTTCTAATTTGTTGTCCGAGTGTTTATTATACTGAGTATCAATAGAAACACAACACCTACGTGTTTTTTTTCTATTCATTCAAATCACACCAACATATCTTTAATTAAACTCGACCATACATTTCAACTTTTGAATTCTCCCTCGCCTGCCCGAATTTAAAGTATTTCTTTACAAAATTCCTTCGTATACAAAAGACAAAACTCTATAGGTTTAGTTGTTCGCAGTAACTTGTTCTTTTCTCGTGCAAACAATGTTTAATTACATAAGAATTTAATACATAATTTAATAACAATATTCAAATTGATATTTGCATACAACAAATTTGTCAAACACATCATTATATGTAAATGAACTTAAACTCTATATGATTCATATTCATAAATATGAGAATAAATGGTAAACTGTACGTTGTATTTACTGTGAGCACCTTCGATAAAATGACAGCTCAATAATGTATTTATATAATATAACAGAACCCCACCCTTTAAAAGGATTTCACGTGCATATATAACCAATATATCTAAATCCAAAATAACGATAACCCGTTTTACAACTTCTCTAACCAGTTTTAAATATTATTTAACTTTATTTAACGCACTGAAATCACTATAGTCAAACGAAATGAAATATATTTAAATTGTCCTTTCATAAATTTATAAATTATTAAGAAACTAAAGTTTTAAGCCGTCGGGCAAAGCTGACTTTAGATGGATTTGGCTAGTACTTTTAAGGTCCTTTTCGGTCATAAAGCTCTTCAAAAGTTTCGGTTCTCATACATCTTTGGCTTTCAAATAATCGGCTTTGAGCGTTTCTGATGACGGTAAATCCAGAAAAGCGCTTCGGATACATGCTATTTGTTAATTGTTGTTTTCATTTTTTTGTTTAATGAATCCCTGTAGCAAAGGAGGTTATCAAAAATGATGCAGTTAAACAAATATCCTTTGCATTTAGTTCAATGTGAGTTCGTCTGGATGAAAACCAATGAGTTTTGCTTTTGACCCTATGAGACTTATCGACATTTTAAAAACTGAAAAATATCGATGCGAGACCAAAGTATCAAGTATCGATGCGAGACCAAACTATCAAGTATCGTGTGGCTATATCTGAAGGAATTCCAAAAAAGAACTGTTTCGTATAGTCATTTTAAAAGAGGCAAAGGGCGTCAGATAATGATGTGCTGCATTTGAATTGCCTAAATATATTTTGCTTAATCTTATGTGAAAAAATCCCTTTCAACACATAATATTGATGGCTAATACATATTTTTTGTGTAATACAGAAAAAATCAATAGGAATGCAGAAAGTGCATCATTGATACATCGAACACTCTCGCAATATATTATAGGATTTCCTTCAAATTTTTATCTTGCATCCGATTTCTGTTTCAATTCATGTTGCGTAACATACACTTCAAAAGTCAAAACGTCTGAAAAGACCAGTTTTTGTCTGAATTTGCATGAATTTTTACTCGACATTCTTAATTTGTCTGAATAATTTTTAAAAATTCTTGACATAGTATGAATTTGTCTAATAAGGTTCTTGATTTTTCTTGACAAGTGTCTTGACAGAATGAACATTGTCTTAAAATTTCTCGACACTTCCTGTATCATCTGATAAGAGTCTGGATTAGTCTCGACCAATTCTTGACTGTCTTAAATTTGTCTTGACATATTCTTGACATTCTTAATAATGTCTGAATATGTCTCGACATATTCTTGACATTCTAAATAATGTCTGAATATGTCTCGACACATTCTTGACAGTCTTAAATATGTCTTGACACTATCTCAACAGTATAAAATTCGCCTGAAATGTGAACAGACTTATTCTGCACTGTTTATGAAATTCTATTGCTGTTGTATATTCCTTTTTATTATGGCTAAACTAAACTTTGAAGAATCAAGGATTAATTTGGTATAGTAAGATACCCTTTTGGTGCAACTAAGTTGGAATACCCTGAATAATCCCCCATGTAGTTTAATTTTGATTTATTTTTATTAAACATTTAAGTAATTGTTTTCACTTGGAATATAAGTCGAAGGTATTGACAAACAGCATTTAGATTTTTGCCGTTCGCAAAACTGTCAGTCAAATTTGCTTTACTAAAATAGGTGTCTTGTATCTCTTTTGGACCCCACAATTCATCTTTTGGGTGTGTGTGGCTAAAAAAAGAGGGGGGCTTTCGTTTAGGTCAAAGAATTTGTTCCGATCTTGATTCAAAAACCTTATTCATTTTTTAGAACAACCCAAAAACATTTTTTATTCAAATTTGAGTGTTGAATTTTATAATTTTTTATCAAAAATAAATATTTGTGATAACTCCTTCCTGAAAAAAAAATGTTTAGATCTATATTATGCATGTCTGTTTGAGAACCATTTCATAAGACCGATGATTTCTATAGAAATCATTGATGGGACCCATTATAAATACATTTTTTTTATTATTCCTGGAGTAGATAATAATTTTCTTTTAATCTTTGGGAATTATTCAATTTGTTTTTATGTTAAGATAATTAACTTCATAATTTTGATGAAGAAAATCCATTTCAATTCAATTTTTTTTCATCAAAATGATGATTGTCATTTTCATCGATCAACAAACTTTTTAAATTGTAGTGGCATGGTCGGTCAACTGATAAGTTGTATGGCTGATTACAGCTAAAGCAATAACTTCTATTTGACAGTTGCGTGTACTCTGGGGTGTGGAATACCTTAATTTTATGGGGAACATCCTGTCCATGTGTAATACTTAATATATTCCAACAGATGACATTACACAAATTTTTCTTCTGTTAAATGAATGATTTGTATATCATCATAATTTGCTATTTATATAAACCACATTTTGGTATAATAATTATTTACCATATCAACATTGAATATTATGAATGTAGAATGAAATATGTCTACAGTATGATTGGTTTGAATCATTTAATTTATAAGATTTAGGAATCAAAATTTGTAATTATTTAAAAACCGACATTGAAATTGTTTTATATCAACACACCCACATTTGAATTATTTTATACTTTAGATTTCATAGCCATATTTGCATTTGTAAAAATATTTATATACCCAAATTTTCAATTATTTTACATGCCCAACTTTAATTTTTGTTGTAAAGAAGTGTAACTTGAAACAACATTACATCATATAAAGAGAAATAAAGATTAAAGTTATGTCATGAATATTGGTCATGATTTGTAAAACTCAGAACTGTCAAGTAAATTTCAGACACGATTCAAAATGTTCAGAATATGTCAAGCCATATACTGAGAAAAAATAAGAATGTCGAGAATATGTCGAGAAATTTCAAGACAGTATTCAAATGTCAAGAATTTGTCAAGAAATTTTAAGACCATATTCAGAATGTCGAGAATATGTCGAGTAAATTTCATACAAATTTAATATAAATGAGAATTTGTCAAGAAAAATTAAGACACAAGTCATACTTTTGGAGAATGTCGAGTAAAAGTTCATGCAAATTAAGACAAAAACTGGTCTTTTCAGACTTTTAGACTTTTGTAGTGATAGGCTGTCCTACTGTCCACTATATACATTTATTCGGTAAACGGACAGAAAGTCACAAATTTGATAGGACAAAAAGTCACAGGACAAAAAGTCACAAATAATTTGTTGACAATTGTTTGAATATATAAGAGAAAGATCTTCGAATAATTTCTTTTTTTACATTTATTCATTTTTAAGTTTAGGAAATTGTTCATAAGCCTTGATAAATGAAAAATTATTAAATTTTAATCATGCAAATGATATATTTATTGGCACCATGAAGCCATTTAAGTGCAAAACCACTTTGACATTTTGTTATCATAACAACTATTTGATCATCATTGATATTTATTGAATAAATTTTAATTATAAAGTTGCTTGATATATTATAGTTCAAGAAAAAATCAAAAAATTATTTTTAAACTTAGTGTTTTCTTGTTCACAGAAAAATAATCTCAAAACTGAATTGTGACTTTTAGTCCTGTGACTTTTCGTCCGTGACTTTTTGTCCGTGACTTTTTGTCCTGTGACTTTCTGTCCTACATTCATTTATTCATAGTCCCATTACTATCGATGTTAAATTTGGCAATTTCGGGCATTCATAACTGCTTTGTCTTAAGGTTAGAAGAAGAGTTATAACTATACCTTATCCTAGCTTGTGTTGGAAAAAAAATTAAGCTTGCCTCTAATTTATATAAAATCGCACTGGTTCCTAGGATTTTGGTACCTCAAAAACAGATACTTCTGATCTGTGCAACAGGGAAAACAAACCCTCCTATTTCAATTTCATATTTTTTTAAATAGTATTCAACAAAAACTTTCAACAAGGGTTCTACAATGATAACCAAAAAAAATGTTCCAAAGTGATTTATAATTATAGTCTTATTACATTTTTAATTACGCAGGTTACTGAAGAGGCATTAATTCGAAATGCGCATCTGGTGTAGTACAATTGGTACTGTTTATGTTATTAATTCTTCAACTTCGATTATGTAATGAGGGGCCTGATGGGTTATTTTCGTTCTTCGTGATCGGCGCATTTTCGCTATCGTGATCCGTTTTTCTACAGATTTTTTTTTTTTTTTATATTTTCGTGATCCGTGATCATGGAAATTTATTTTCTGTGAATCGTGATTGACAAAAAAAATCAACTCGTGAATCGTGGTGAGACCCCCCCCCCCCACATCAGGCCCCTCTGTAATGTTAATTCCGATCTCAGAAACGGAGCCTATCAATACTTCTTTTTTCAATTATCGGATACTAGACAACAAATGCAACTGCTGAAATACGAATTAAAAATATTATGGCACATGAACACGAT